TCTGCCCAGTCCCAGACGGTTCCCAAGGTGTCCCAGGCCAGCTAAATCCAGAGGTGGAATTGCAGCCATACGTCTCCTGACATCGCTGATTGTGGCTGCAGATTTGCTTCTCTGGCGCTCCCAAAGGAGCTTCGCGTTGGCCTCTTCAAGTCTCTCATTGGCTCTGAAACATTCAGAGGCACACAAAGACTCACCTTGGGCAGTAACGCTTTGGCAAAGTTCCCCTCCATGTCCTTGACTATTCCTTGACTTCTAAATGCCAAGGGGATGAAGAGCATCCAAAACAAGCACATCCTTTGATCTGAGCTTGGGCAGAGGGCCTGTTTCCAAACAATCACACCAACTGCAAGGAGCAGCAAGTGTCACCTCCATAAGAACTCTGGGCTACCCTTCTGGCCTTCAATGGAAAGCTCAAACCCCAGAGCCACTGCTAAAACAGAAAGATCATTCTTAGTTTTGATTCACAGAATCCAACTCTGCTCTCTGAGAGGCCTCTCCTTATTCAAACAGGAAAGGCCACAAGATTCATCTTTTCTGTCACACACAGGAGGAGGAGATTAGAGATTGGCAAAAAGACTGCCTGTTAAATCAACACCAGCTGGAAAAAGACACCACTAATTCTGTGATGGTGCTACTGTGGTGTTACTGCTGGAACTCTCTAGAGAAAGGAAGACAGGTCTGGTGAAGGCAAGGGTCTTGAGGTACTTTCCCCACAAATATGCCATGTTATGCTTTCACACCTTGTGCTGGCCAGATGTAGAAAAGGGATTTTAGAAGGAAAATGCACAAAGAAAAAGGAGTCTGTGATTACCACTCCAAAAATGCATGGACTTACCTATCCAGTTTCTTTGTGAGGCTTTTGCTGGTTTTTACTTCCTGCAGGTACAGCTCTTTGTACTTGTCCACTGCTGGCTGTCTGGATTCTTTTTGAACAGGTCTTTCTTGCTGGTTGCTTTTTGTCCTTCCCAGTGCACGTTCAAGCTCTCTAGTTCTGTCTTCTAACTGTTTTTTCAGGGAGTCAAAATGACTGCTTCTGATTTCTTCTAATGTGTCCTGGTAGGCTGTCTGTGCCTGAAGGAAACAGTGCACCTTCAACCACCACAAGAAAAAGAAATTTCTCCCCAGCAGAAAATTGCATGGACCCAAGTTCAGGGCTTTGCTCAGAGAGGCGGCTGTGCCTCCTCCCAAGCAGCAGCAATCAAGGCAGAACCCAGGAGCTACCAGGCTAAATAATTCTTCTCATTCAGAAAGAAG